AAAGGCCCGAGGTCGAACGCGGGCATTGTAATGTCTGGCCATTCTGCCTTGATATTCCGCCAGGCGTAGCTGGGCCATTGCTCTCCTTTCTTCCAACAAGTCGAGGTTGAGGAGCAGCTCATCCTCATTCGTCGTAGGGTCGTAATGCTCTACTCTGTCAGATGGCATGCCGATCTCAACCGGGACTACAGCTTCGGAGCCGAAGGCCAGGGAGAACGGGGTCTCACCCGTCGACTCTCGTTGGGTGGTCCAGTACGACCACAGAACCTCTGGTAGCTCCTCGACCCACCTGCCTTTCTTGGAGTCCAGTCTAAGTTTGATGCCTCGCTTGATGATCTTGTTGACTGCCTCCACCTGCCCATTTGCTTGCGGGTGTGCGGGGGACGAGCTAAGATGACTTATGCCAAGTTTGCTGCAAAAGTCTTTGAACTTGGCGTTGTCAAATTGCTTCCCATTGTCTGTCACTATGGCCTGCGGTATACCAAAGCGACATATGATATTCGTCCATACGAAGGACGTGACCCTGGATTCCGTTATGTGGGAGAGCGCCTCGGCTTCGACCCACTTGGTGAAGTAATCCACAGCAACCACAGCGAACTTGGTCTGGCCCTTGCCCAAAGGGAAATGACCAATGATATCTACCCCCCACTGCGCGAATGGCCACGGGGCCGAGATGGGGGTGAGCAGCTCGGGAGGTTGGCGGATTATGGTTCCGTAGCGTTGGCAATTGTCGCAAGTTCTAACGAACTGCTTGGCGTCCTGGCTGAGGGTCGGCCAATAGTATCCTTGCCGGATCACTTTGGCTGACAGCGACCGGGCRCCTGAGTGATTGCCGCACACTCCTTCGTGGATCTCTCTGAGGACGTACAGGCCCTCTTCAGGGGTTAGGCATTTCAATAGAGGCAGGGAAAAGCCACGTCGGTACAATGCACCATCTCGGACCACGAGCCGAGCTGTCCGCCTTGCCAACTTTCTGCGCTCCTTGGGATCTTGTGGTGAGTTACCCCTAATGAAGTCCGTGATCGGGTCCATCCATGAGGATTCTGGAGCGCCGACCTCCATCAGATCTGGTTCTAAGATCGAGGGATTATCTAGGATCTCGACGGGGACCGACCTGGCGAGGTCGGTCTCATACGCCGATGCTAACTTGGCCAAGGCGTCAGCATTAGAATTTTCTGCTCGCGGAATCCGGCTTACCTCGTAAGTTCGAAACTGGGCGAGGTATGATCTGACCTTGCCCAAATACKTCTCCATTCGGGTGTCTTTGGCTTGGTATTCGTCCTTGATCTGGCTCACAACCAGCTGGGAGTCACTGAAGACCTTAACACAAGAGGCCCCCAATGTTCGAGCGATTCGCAGGCCGRCAATAAATGCTTCATACTCAGCCTCGTTGTTAGAAGTCCGGAAGCTGAACCGCAAGGCATACTCAAATCGCTCACCCCCTGGTCCGAGCAAGAGGACCCCGGCTCCGCACCCCTTCTCATTGGAGGATCCGTCGACATATACTGTCCAAGGTAGGTCGGACTCGCTCAGCTCGGAAGGTGGTGTGAGCTCGGCTATGAAATYTGCCRCTRCTTGTCCTTTCAACGCAGTTCTGGGTKCGAACTGGATGTCGTACTCACTTARCTCTATTGCMCACTTCATTAGGCGTCCGGAAGCTTCCGGCTTGTGGAAGATACTTTTAAGGGGCAAGTTAGTGAGCACCACCACCGTATGGGCTTGGAAGTATGGTCTAAGTCGTCGGGCCGAGGTGACCAAAGCGAGAGCCAACTTCTCCATCTGAGGGTATCTAGTCTCGGCTTCGGTCATAGCCTTGCTTGTGTAGTAGACCGGGTTTTGCCGCGCTTCCTCTTGCCTGATTAGGGCCGAGCTGACGGCACTGTCAGACACTGCTAGGTACAATTGGAGCTTGTCCCCCGGCATGGGCTTGGCAAGCAAGGGTGCCGAACAGAGGTCGCTCTTCAATTGCTGAAACGCTTGCTCGCACTCCGCTGTCCATTCAAACGGCCCTTTCTTTCGTAAGACCTTGAAGAAAGGGAGGCACTTATCTGTCGACCTTGAAACAAACCGGTTCAGGGCCGCAATCCTGCCATTGAGGCACTGAAGCTGCTTCAGCGTTTTAGGTGCCTCCATCTCGATCACGGCTTTAATCTTTTCGGGGTTGGCCTCGATTCCCCGGTTGTTTACCAGGAAGCCAAGGAATTTTCCCGAGGAGACTCCAAAGGCACACTTAGCAGGGTTGAGCTTCATTTGATATGCCCTCAGAACCTCGAAGGCTTCGGCCAGGTCGGAGAGATGCGACTTAGACTGCTTGCTCTTGACAAGCATGTCGTCCACATACACTTCCATATTTCGGCCGATCTGTCTGGCGAACATTTTGTTCACCATTCTCTGGTAGGTCGCTCCTGCGTTCTTTAACCCGAAGGGCATGACCTTGTAGCAGTACAGACCTTGGTCTGTTATGAAAGCGGTATGACCTTCATCTGGGACATGCATCTTGATTTGGTTGTACCCAGAGTAGGCGTCCATGAAGGTGAGCAGTTCGTGCCCGRCYGTGGCGTCCACGAGCTGATCAATCCTCGRCAGTGGGAAGCAATMTTTCGGRCATGCCTTATTTAAGTTCGTAAAATCTACGCACATTCTCCACTTGCCGTTAGATTTTTTAACTAATACAACATTGGAGAGCCACTCGGGATATGAAATTTCTCTTATGTATTCAGCTTTCAAAAGTTTGTTAACTTCCTCAACAATTACATCACTCCT